GGGGGGAGGACAGGAGGCACTCGTGATCCTGCACGCCGGGGCTGCGGCGGGGTCATCCGAGGAGAAGAATGCGAAAAATGCCTGCAGGGGCCGTGAACACAAGAGTAGGCCGTGTGCAGGGGCGTCACGGGGGATTGGAAAGACGAGTTTTCTGCCCAGCATCGCCAGCCAGGAGGAAAGACTCACAAGGACGAGCACGCCCAGGGTGACGAGGACCGGCGGGGCCAGCAGCCCTGCCATGGGCTCCGTTGACATGGCGATGTGGGTGGAGGAAGGGGGGGAATGGTCCCTGGAGAGAATGTACCTCGTGAAGCGTGGGGGAGGGGAGGTGAGAGGCCCTCCCGACCGGGCCCGAAGCGAGACAGAAAGGCAAACTTGGGCTCAAGAAGGCGACGCCCGATACCTGCGGACTTGGTGCATCCACCCAGCCACACTGTCGCCGCTGACTGTGCGTGCGTCCTGTGTCGGGCGCGGGAAACAAGGTCTGTTAGGCTAGGAGATGGGGGGGGCTCACATGGAATGGAGACATGCTGTACTGTCGCCGAGGGCGCTGAGCGACCGCATGCAATGCCCCCCCTTTATGTTCTCGAGCCTCACATGCCCCGAGGTGCGCGGGGCCAACAAGCCTACCTTTCTCCCGCTTATGCCCATATTGGATGCGCGTCTGCCATGTTTCAGTGGACAGGATGACCATACTGGATGAATTTGCCTGCGTGAGTAAGGTCTAGGAATTGCCCCCCGTCTGCCTCCCCTCTTCGCGCTCCTGCGGGTGGTTGTGAGACTCATTCTGAGGTTCTGATGACCTCTGAAGATGTTAAGGGCAAGTAAATGGTACCACGTGTGACTTGTCTTTGTTCTGGCATTAAATGTCGCGAAGTTGGCAATCGTACGGGTCAGTTTGCCCTCACTTCGCTTGTGGATAGGAAACTTTCGCCCTCAGCCCGGAAGTCATCCGTCCGCCTGTCCACAGCGCCACAGCTTCTGCGCACGCACTCATCTCGAGTAATAACATGGCCGACGCGGAGAAGGAGACTGAGCCAACCCCCTCTAACGTGGGGGGA